TTTTAACGAATAGATTGTCTTCTAACAGAATTTGATCTTCGTTGTCCTGGGATCCATCGTCGTGATCTCGTCTTCGAGATAACCCATCCGACCTTGCTTGTGTCTTTCCGGGTTTGTGGGTAATCTGAAAGTCATAGTCTTGTAATTCCGCGCTCCACCGGGCTTGACGTCTGTTAAGCTTGCGAGCGGTTCGGAAATACTGTAGATTACGGTGGTCCGACCATACATCTATTTTGTGTGGACTTCCTGCAAGATAGTGCCTCCATGCTTCGAAGGTCTTCATAATTGCTAGAAGTTCACGGTCGTGTACGTCGTAGTTCCGTTCGGGTTCGCTCATTGAGGCAGAGATGTAGGCGCACGGATGCCAGTGTCCTTCGTGTTGCTGGGATAGTACTCCTCCTATCGCAAATCCTGATGCATCGCATTCTACTCGGAATGGTTTCTCGGGGTTGGGTTGGATAATAACAGGCGCTGTCGTAAAGGCCTGTTTGAGGTCATCAAAGGCCTTTTGTTCCACGTCTGTCCATCTCCACTTGACATCTTTCTTCGTTAGATCGTTGAGGGGTCGTGCTTTGTCCGAGAAGTTTCGAATAAATCGTCGATAAAAATTTCCGAATCCTAAAAATGACCTGACATCCGTTAAATTTTTCGGAGTGGGCCATTCTAGTACTCCGGCAACTTTGATGGGGTCCATCGAGATTTTTCCATGTCCTAAAATCATTCTGAGGTATTCGACTTCCGAAGCTTCGAAGGTGCATTTTTCGGGTTTAAGGAACAGGTCATTGTCTTGAAGTCGTTTTAGGACTTCATTGACAATAGCTCGGTGTTCCTCAAGTGTCTCGGTTCCGATGAGGATGTCGTCCATGTAAATTACCACTTTCCCAGTGGCAATTAAGTCTTGGAATATATCGTCCATCATCATTTGGAAAGTCGCAGGGGAATTGGTGAGGCCGAAAAACATGACCATGGGTTCGTATAGACCTCGGTTGGTAAGAAAGGCTGCTTTCCACTGGTCCCCGTCGGCTATTAGAATATTGGTATAGCCGTATTGGACGTCCATTTTTGTGAAAATGAAGGCGGTAGCCATTCTGTCGAATAGTTCTGTGGTAAGGGGTAGTGGGTATCGATTTTTGATGGTCATTTCGTTGATTTTCCTATAATCCTGGACTGGTCGTAGTTCTCCATCCTTTTTCTTGACAAAGAATAATGGTGATGCTAGTGGAGAGTTAGATTTACGGATCGTGCCTCTTTCCAAATGTTCGTTTAGGAATTTATCGAGTGCTATTTGTTCAGCCGGGGTAAGAGGATAGACCTTGCATGTGTTTTGTGGTACGGCATCGGGTTTGAAATCTATGTGATGGTCCCAAGGTTTTGAAGTGGGGAATCGTTTTGATTCTTCGTCGCTGAAGACTTTTCGGAATTGTTGATATTGTTCTGGTACAATTTCCTCGTAGGTGCGGGCTTCCTTGGTTTTAGAAGCTTCTTCAGCGAGTTCTGTAGATTTCAACGCACGTCGCACAAACTCTTCTTCCTCGTCTTCTTCAAACCCTGGCGTCCACCATACTTCATCATCTTCTCCTAGTTCCATGGATTTTATAAAGACCTGCCCGGCTTCCTTGATATGTATCCTGTAGCGATGTTGATCTAATCGCTTCTGGACTCGTTCAGAAAATGTAGTTTTCGCTACCGTTTTTCTGAATGTCGTCCTTACGCCTCCTATAATTCTGGAAGCGCGGTGTTCCTTAATTGCTTTAAGGATCTTCTTTTTCTTCTTCTGTTTCCTCTTTTTGCGCATTGTGAGTTCGCAAGAAAGAGGACAGTCTTGGAACAGCATATGTCCGTTTCTCCAGTTAAGGGCTGGGTTATGTTTCCGTAGCCAAGGAAGTCCTAAGATTAAAACATCTTCTCCTATGTCGGTGACAGAGAATTTGGCCTGTTCTTCGTGATCACCGACTTTGAGAGTGGTTTCGACATAGTTCGTAATTTTTCCTAGGATGTTGGCAGAGTTGTCAACGTTTCGAACGGTTTTGGGTTTCGCATAGGCCTTGGTGGGGATTCGGTGTTTTCGAACAAAATTCCAATGGATAAATAGCCCGCTGGCTCCTGAGTCAATTAGAGCACGGGTATGGACGTCTTGATGATTCCCTCTGATGTAAACTGGAAAGCGCATAGATTGTGGCATAGCTATTGTCCGTATGAGTACATCGCGAGGGAATCGTGTCTGTGCCTGAAGTTGCATCACGAGCTTCAGGCCTTTCAAAAATCCTGTCCATTGTTCGAGTCCGTGTCTCTTCCCGCTTCTTCCATTTCCCCAAACATCTCTAGGACCGTATCCTGATCTTCGTTCGTCATATTCTGGATCTTGCGAACGAGTTCTTGTATCGCATTCTTCCCTTGGGGTAGAGCTTCGCTCTGTTGCAGGTTCGAGGCTGATGCCGGTTGGTTATTGACCGTGGTCTGGCGAATCTGCTGACGGAAAGGATTGGTATTTTTGCCTGGAGCACCTTGGTTGTTCTTTGGGTGAAACTTGGGATCAGCGGCGCAATGTCCGATCTGGTCACACCTAAAACACCTTCCTTCCTGTATGTACTTCTGGTGTTCCTGAAAACTGAGGTTGACCGCTCGAACTTGGGTTGTGTTGGAGCGGTTCCTCCAGTTAGAGGATCGGCCGCGATTGCCTGGGGTGGAGGCATTGGATGCTCTCCATTGCGCGTTCATGGCCGTTGCCCTTTCGCACCATTCCTCGAACGATACTGGCAGCGGGAATGTGCTGTAGATCTTGGTGCAAAGTGCAGGGTTGAGGCCTTTCTGAAAGAATATGACCTTCGCGTTCTTTCCTTTGATTTTGCCTTTGGAAATAAGGATCTTGAACTTGGTGACGTAGTCGGTGGCGTTCATATTTCCCTGACGGAAACTATCCAGATCGAATCAGCTCTGTATTTCTTGAGCGGCGTATTCGAACTCCCTTCGGATTTGCGCTTTGAAATCCTTCCAGGTTCCGTATTCCGGCTTCTTGGGCGTTATGGGAGATATGCCCAAGCCTTCCCCTTCCTCTCCTTCTTCATCGTCGCTATCCTCTTCAGGTCCGTTGACCTTGTCCAAGAAGACTGTCTTCCATGCTCCTGCCGTATCACCTTTCATATACGACAGAGCGAAGATAATCTTCTTTTCATCCTTCTTGCATTTCTCCGGGTTTGCAGCGAAATATAATTCGTAGCTGGTGATGAATTCTTGGACTTTAGAGGCTTCTCCTTTAAAGTCGTCAGGTGCGCTGATCTTGGTGTCTTTGGCCATATCGTCGGAGTCGTCAGAGTCACTGTCTGTGTCTGAGTCTGTGTCTGCGCCTGATGAATCGCTTGGTGATGGTCCTCCCGGTGGTGCAGTGTCCTTCTTGGTTTCCTTCTCTGGTTCTGCTCCTGAGCCTCCTGGTGGTGGTGGTGGTGATGATTCTTCTTCGGAGTCAAAGTTAAGGTGCTCGTATTCTGGATCTTTTGCTAGAACCCTGACTGGAACGTCTGTGTGGTTCGCGTACACCCAGCGGTTATGTAAAACCTGGATGTTCTGTTCTTGTTGTTTGGTTTCAGTGCGTGTCCCGTCTAGGAAGGTTCTGCACTTCCAACGTTCCCCGTCGTGGTATGAGTTGGCGGGTTTAGGAAGATGGTATGGGATAGTCCTTGTTCCTCCTTGACTGTTGTATGTGGAAAATGGTACCTCTTTTCCGTACCAATCCTTGTCTTCTTCGGTATATATCCAACGGTCACCGTCTACCTTGCAGAAAAAGATAGAGTCTTGTCCTTTATAATGAAGGGGTGGTTCTGAGGTATAAAGTCTTTCAGAACCTTGGAGGACGTTTATATGGTCCGGGAGATATACTCCTCGGGGTACTTCGATTCGGGGTGCCGTGATGTCTATTTCCTGAGTCCCTCCGCGGACTGATCGTTTAGGCTAGGAGAACCTGTTCAAATGTTACGACCGGGCTTAAGCTAGGCTTAAGGGCGGCGTCAGTTTCGTGAAGCGGGGAATGATCGAGTCGTTCGGCGCCGTCGGCTTGGGCGATCAGCGAGGGGCTTCGGAGGTTCCGGATCCGGGGTTCTGGCTCGGTTCGTCTAGACGCGGCGTCCGGTCTAGGATCGAGTTCGTTCAGATGAGGTGTCCTCTTCTGAGGCAGGCATCCTGCTAGAGCTGATGTAGATTTGAGGTTTCAATGGTAAAGCTCTTCTGTAGTCGATATTCGAGGGGTATCGTCTTGAGGTCGCACAAGTCGATATCAAGAATTCTGGTGAATTCAACTGAAACACTGTAGGTACGATACAAGTGAACAGGTTGGACAATCTCGACTACAAAGGTTCGATATTTATACTAGTACAAGTCCGTGTGAATCGCCACGTCATATAGGTCCGCCACATCAGCCTAAGAGTCCGTCTGCTCCGCCGAGCCAGAGCCAAGCCACACCGCGGTAGTCCATATTTGAACGAGATATCGTGTCCGCAGTCCTTCCCTACGTGTCCAGCCCACTATCGTACGTGTCCGAAGTATGTATACATGTCCAATGTAAGTATACGTGTCCGTTAGAGAAAGGGATATGTTTATAGAAGGGTTTTAAAGGGATTTCAGTGAAAAGGGATCGAGCCGAAGTCCGGGTGTGTGTCGCCTTACTAGGAACGCGGTAAAGGAAAAGAAAAGAAAAATATACACGAAGTAACAGAGAAGAAAAAGCGTCCATAACACTTTGTCCTCAAACTGAGACGGTGTAGGATGCTGAGTATATGAGGAAACAGCTACATTGCTCGGAGAATTTTGAAGGTGACGATTGTTAGAGAACAGTCCATGGGCTCCCCAACATCAAAGATCCCATCCACTTCCTCGGGTAATCCTCCCCACTTAGCAACATAATCAAGGCCAATCGAGGGGGGCTGTGAGGTGGACGGTGGCGGTGGTAGAGGATAGATAGGCGGGCCTGAAGACAAAGCTGTGGCATGTGATACTGAAGATTGAGATGCTGTGGGGTGATGACTGGGCACAAATGGAGAATATGCTATTCTACGCGGCTGTGATGGTGGAGGTGGAGGTGGAGCAAAGGATGTCAAGTCTGATAGAGTCGAGGTAGAAGGTGGCGGACCAGAGACATGACCTATATATGGAGCGCAACAGGTAGTGCAGCTGGACATGTAGTCTGCAACCATGTTGTCCTGTTGAGAACCAATCAGGTCAAGCAAATACTAGAACTTGGTGACGGAAAAATGCACACTAATAAAAGGGTGACCATCGTCATGTCCTATCCTAGGTGGGATTGTAATGGCCATCACTCTCTCATGATCACGAAGGTGATGTCCACAGATACAAAAATCAGGTTGAGATTCTGGCCGGGTATCCTAATTGAGCGAAGATCAGTATTGGGTAGCCTCTCTGCTAAATGCGTAAGGTGTGGATGTACCGAAGTGGGCTCGGTGCATGGACACCCCTAGACTCCCCAGAGATCGACAGTAATGATTATGGCCTGGCATTTGTGCTGGTTCCAACAGTCATTCGGCGCACAGAGTGACCATAAATTACGATGTTCAGTTTATGTGGCACCTTGGTGATACTGCTGGGTTCAATTCCCGGTATGTGCAAACTTTGTGGGTGACTGTTTTTGGTGGTGTTCACTATCGAAGCACTTGAATTGGAGTGAGGTTTTTGCAGTGAATAATGTTGTGTCTCTTAATTGGATTTAGCATTAATGTAAGATGAATCAACTTAATTCCACATCATTGCAGACATTAGCCCCTTTAGCGCTGTGGGGCATACAATGAACGAGAATGCACTACATCATAAAGCTCCCTGCACAAAGTGACAACTCTGGTCTCTAACCCCATCAACTCATCTCGGCTCAATCCCTCTAGATCCAGCATACTAAGCTTTCCAATAAGATCTCTAATCTTCCGCCCCTCTTCTACAATTCGGCTACATCCAGCTTCTTTGATTGCAAGAACTTAATCAGTGGTGACTGAGGTTGCCGGTGGTGGTTGGAGATGTTGCCGTGCCGATGAAGGGGAGACCCTGAAGGCAAGAAATATACCTGTAAGGCGACTGGCCAGAAACATGTGCTTGCACTTGAGCTGATGGACAGTCGCAGGCCACAATCACGGTGTATTCTTCAGGATCGTAATTGACATCCTGGACCTGGATCTCGTACCAACTCTCTTCATTCCGTGAGAAGGACTGAACCTGTGAGGTGCAGATGATTGAGCACTCGAAGAAACGACTGTGAGAAGTGTCACTGTCAATGATATTGCCCTCACAAAGTAATAGAAAAAGAGAGAGACAAAATCTATAGTAAGACTCACCTGTGAGAAGCGTCACTGTCCATGGCAAAGAGACAAGGACGCTTCCCACAAGTTAAAAGGACGTGCTCCGGCGCTTACCGGTCTACTATACAGTTGGAAAAGTAACTGCATAAACGGGACGCAGAGCGGCGGATCCCGAGGCGCGGAATCTGGGGCTCTGCGGACCGCTTGGTGGTGAAATAACTAAAGTCATAACTCTGCAGTAAGTGGTCCTATCAGTCTCGGAAGAATTGCTAAAATATCAAGAAAATTCCCTCTGTCTTGTCGTAATACTCTGGACATAACTTGGGGGGAGAGGCCATTGCTATACCTAGCATGGCAAGCACGATGCCTGGTTTTTTAATTAGTTTAATGTTTATTGTTTTTATTTACTCAAGACTTTTGTATTACTCAGAGGTCATATATGTCATCATCTGCTGACCCATTTAAGACACTTTTGATGATTGTGCAAGGCTCAGACTTATGTTAGTACACATTGGCTCCACCATCATTCTTCCTTCCTCCCCTGCCGCCGCCACCATTCTTTATCTCCTCATTCCTCCCCTCCACCATCTTCCCCCATCCCTGCCAAGTCCCAGGAGCTCCATGCCTGCCTTGTCGTGCTCCGTACCCAAGAAGATATTGATCTACTCCAGTATAAAGATGTATTGTCGTCAAAGGATTACACTCCCAATGTCTTGTCGATGGTCAGTATCAAGGACTTATGCGGGCTTACAGGTACTGTGAAAGGTCGGATATTGAAGCTTCAGAGGTTTGCGGAGAGA